AAAAAAAAAAAAAGAATCCCAGTGCCAGGGAGGCTGAAAATAGAATCACCATGAGTCAGATCTGCGTAGTGAGACCCTGTACCAAATATACATTTAAATGTAAAAATACTTTCCTGGGACCATAAGACTCTTTTTAAAATTTCCTTTGAGCCAGGCTTAGAGGTGGTGGCACATCCCGAAATCCCAGCTGAGACTGAGGCAGGAGGACTGTGCCTTCCAGGCCAGTGTGGTTTACACAGCAGATTCAAAGCCAGCAAAATTCTACCTAAAACAACAGCAATTGCCAGGTGTGGGGGCACGTGCCTGTAATCCCAGCACTCAGGAGGCAGGAGGATTATGGGGAGTTTGAGGCCAGCTTGGGCTATAAAGGGATCTCAAGCCCAGCCTAAACTGCATAGCAAAACCCTGTCTCACATACATACATACATATATACGTACATACATACATAACAGCAACAACAAAATTCCCTCCTCGGGCTGGAAGATGAAGCGCTATGGTAGTGGCACAAAGCTTTGGACTTGGATCCATAAGATTGAAAAGTCTTTGATGTGCCTGTTATTCCAGTAACTGGGACTTCACAATTCAGCAAAATAGCAACTAGATCTAATTTTGTTCATTACTAAGATGGCTTTGGGGCTGGGGAGATGGCTCAGTGGAATAAGCACTTCCCTAGCAAGCGCAAGGGCCTGAGTTCAATCCCCAATTCCGCAAAAAAAAAAAAAAAAAATGGTTTTTGTTGTTTTTGAAACAATGTTTCTTACTATACAGCCCAGATTGGCTACTGTGTAGCCCAGGGTCTCAGAATGTAGCCTAGGTTGTTGCATCACCCTTGCTTATTAAATAATTATTAAAAATAATCTGAAGCACAGCATCATTCTATTTATAGTTTTCCTTTATGAGAATGTAAATCCTGAGGAAACTTATTCCCGTAAATAAATAGATTGGAATCAAAGTAATATAGATTAATACAATTAGGGCTGTGCTCAACTGAATTTGGACAATGCCTCCAGGCTCATTTCTCTGAACTTTGTCCTAAAGCTCAACATCTGGAGACAGAGATAAGAATAAGAAAAACCCAGGCTGGGCCAAGTGGTGCACACCTTTAATCCCAGCACTCGAGGCAGAGGCTGAGGCAGAAGGCTCACAGGAGTTTGGGGTCAGCCCGGCTGGGCTACAAAGTCAATTCAAGGCCATCCTGAACTACATAATAAAAAGACAAAAATATGAAATGAAAGAGAAAGAGAGACACAAAGAGAGAAACAACCCTCTGGAAAGAAATTTTGAATCTCAAACCAGGACATACACATGTCAACCCTGCTGGCATGACCTACAATAACCTTTCTTCACTTAGAGAGTATTAGAAATTCATTCCTTGGGGCCGGGGAGATGGCTCAGTAGAATAAGCGCTTGCCTGGCAAGCCCAAGTGTCCGAGTTCAATCCCCGGTTCCGCAAAAAAGAAAGAAAGAAAGAAAGAAAGAAAGAAAGAAAGAAAGAAAGAAAGAAAGAAAGAAAGAAAGAAAGAAAGAAAGAAAGGAGAGAAAGAAATTCCTGTGGACTGCATCTCATACATCCAATCAATCATGCCAGGTTGAATTATGGGACAGGACATGCGCTGTAGACACAGCACAGCTGACATGACTCAGCAGCCTGTCAACTGAGTTGTCAATCATACTTAAAAAGAACCAATGGGAGAATCATGGCCTGGCGTGGTGGTACATGCCTATACTCTCAGCACTCGGGAGGATGAGGCAGGAGGGTAGCCATGACTTCAAGGCCAGCCTGGAGTACATAATACAACCCAGTCTCAAAAAAGCAAACAAAGAAAGAAACAAAGACCCAGTGAGAGGCACCCTAGAACCAGCACAGTGTTGGGTTTGTTTGTTTGTTTGTTTTGTTGGGTTTTTTTTCCAGCACAGTGTTTTAAGCTCTTAAACTCAGTATGTTTGATGCTCGTA